CCGCCGGGCGGTGGTTGCAGACTCATGGAAGGACGCCGGCCTTGGGGAGGGAGCGCTCCGGGGCCTGGGCCCCGCTTCTTGGGACAGCCCCCTTCCATCCCCCCACCCCCCCACCCCCCAAATTTATTAATTGGGATTAATAAACGCTTAGACGCAGGATCTCTGCCTGAGAAGGAGTGAGCACGGATCACCTGAGTTGGGGACAGGGCCATACTTAGGCCTGGTGAGTTCCAGCAGGCTAGCCCCAGCTTAGGGGCCTCTCCTGCACCCCCTCCCTGGCTCCAGGGCTGTGCCCTGCTTTCATTTCTCTGCTACTACCCAGAAAGGGCTGGTTTCTGGGCAGAAAGTGTGGTGTCCAGGAGAATCGGCAGGTTAGGGTACATCCTAGAAACCTCTAAGTTGCCACACCCAGAGAGAGGCTGGGACTCTTCTAGCTTTCCTTGCCCTCTTCCTCCCCTAGGACTCCCCCTCCCCACCTGCTTGTGCTGGTTATGTAATTAAGCTGAGTCTCTACCAAGCTGGGCAGTGTCCAGGGATGCCTGAGGGGCCCAGGCGCCTGGAGGGATACATGAGGAGGAGGGATTGGTACTTCCCCTAGTTGGGAGCCCGTGTGAGTGTATAAGCACCTGTTGGGGAAAGGGCACTGCACAGGATAGGAAGGAGATCAGGGTCATAGTCTTAGTTGACAACTCAACTGGCTATGAGGTCTTCATTTCCCTAAGTCTCTGGGAGTTTGTTGTTGTTTTCTTACCTTCAATAAAATGGGGAGAAGAACCTCATAGACACACACACACTCCATGTATGTGAGCCCATGCAACAGTGGATAGTGACCCCTCTAAGGATTGCTAGGAGGTCCCACTGAGATTGTGGAAAACCTTAGAGAAATGAAGGACACCTGTAGGTAACAGTGGTCACTGTTTATTAAACAGCTACTCTGTGCCAGGCAGTGGGCTTTACATGCATGGCCTCACAACATCTAATGAAGTTTGTCCAAGGTCACACTTTAGGTGAATGGTAGATCTGGGAATCAAGCCTTGGTGGTTCTCACTTCAAATCCTGCCCTTTATTTACTGTGCTGTATGCACACATACACCTTATTTGGAGTCCTCTAAATCAAGACAGCCTGGGGACATTCAGCTGTGAATTGTGCATATGTGGAAAGAACATGCTTCCACAGGAAAAGCATGCACACATGCTGAAAAGCATGGCCCTTTTGCAATCCAGTAAACCCACCTGCCCTCGACCCAGTTAGCACATACTGGTGAGACCCTCCTGGGAATAATCCCAGACAGGAAGTCTCATGTACCAGCCTCCCTGGTCACCATCCCCAACAGTAGGAGAAAAGTTCTCTCCTCCTGGTTAAGAGATTTACTTGGATTATTTCAGAATCAGGCGCTTTTGGCCTCATTTTACATATGTGCAGAGCATGACTCAGATTGGCCAGGCGATTTGCCCACTGGCCCACAGCTAGGATTTATACCCAGGTTCCAAAGTCATTGAAACTCAGCAAGCAAGGAACTAATGAATCCATATCAAAGTCCAACCCCCTAGCAGCCCTTTCCTGGGCATCTGCTGTGTGCGAGGCCTTAGCTCCAGGGGATGCCAGAGAATGAGACCCAGCCCTTGCCCTGTAGGCATTCACCAGTTAGAATCACCAAACTCGAAAGTTGGAAGTATTGCAACATGTAGAAAGGGTTTGCTGCCATTGCCCGCTGTGTGCCAGCTGTGTGACTTTGGGTACACTTCTTACTCCTTCTGAGCCTTCTCTCTTAGGTGGGAATAACAATACCTATCCCTTAGGGTTACTGTGTGTACCAAGGGGGCATGCTACCTGAGGAAGTGCTCAATCAACATTGATGCACTCCAGAGCCAAAGTGGTCATCTAGCGCAGTGGTTCTCAATTTGGAAATGGTGAGCGAGTGGGGTGGGGGGCGCATTTTTGATCATCAGGGTGACTGGAGGCTGCTGCTGGCAGTTACCTCCTGGGAGTCATGGAAGTGAAACGTCCTGCAGTGTGTGGGCAGTTCTGCACCGTAAAGAATTCTCTCCCGGAGTGCCAGGAGTGGCTCCCCTGAGACTCACTTGCTTAGTCTCACCCTTTCAGGATGAGACTGAGACTCAAATGAGTTGCTGTCTTGTCCCACCCAAGCTCTGTGGGAGGGCTGGGATTTGAACCAGTACAGTGCTCTTCCACCTCTGCTGCCTTCCTTGGCTGGGGATTCAGACCTGGTGAAAAGTCATGTCGTGATACAAGTCAAGAAAGATTGACTCCTACTCATGGGATGACAGGAAAAAAATGGAGAAGGAAGGATGGAGATGTTTCAGCTAGGTGGAGATAGGAGTTCTGGGAAAGGGAAAGCATTCCAGGGGCAGACACAGCTTCAGCAAAGTCCTGGAGTTGGAAAGTGCAGGACAAGTCCAGGGATAAGCCGGTACACTGAGCACACCTCTTGTCCCCACAGTCCAGGTGGAGGCCGCAGAGGGCCCCAGGGCAAGCAGAGGCAGCAATGGTTGGTCCTGACGGTGGCTGAGCCCCCAGCCCCTGGAATATGCAGCCCGGGGGAGCCCCAGGCAGCGGCAAGGACGCGGTGGCGGAGTGGGGCGGGAGGCATGGTCTCCACCTACCGGGTGGCTGTGCTGGGGGCACGAGGCGTGGGCAAGAGTGCCATCGTGCGCCAGTTCTTGTACAACGAGTTCAGCGAGGTCTGCGTGCCCACCACCGCCCGCCGCCTCTACCTGCCTGCTGTCGTCATGAACGGCCACGTGCACGACCTCCAGATCCTCGACTTCCCACCCATCAGCGCCTTCCCTGTCAACACGCTGCAGGTAAGAAGGCCCTCAGGGGGCAGTGGGGTGGTGGAGAAGTGAATGGGTGAGGGGGAAGCTGGCCCAAACTTCTGCAGCTCTGGCCATACTGCCAGGGCCCCACTGCTGGGTTTGAGACCTCCACACTGCACCTTGGGCCACCCTGCTTACAGCCATATCAAGATTCCATTCACTTAAGTGCTACTTTATTCGACAAATATTTGATGACCGTTTAATATGTGCCAGGCCCTGCAGTGGGCACCGGGGCAGAATGGTGAGCAAAACAGATAGGGAATTTGCTATCAAGGAACTCACAGTCTGGTGAGAAAAGACTAGCAAGCGATTATTCTATAGTGTGATACGTGCTGTGATTGCAGGAGATGCAGGGAGCTAGGGCAGCAGTTAAGGGGGCATCTAACCCAACCGGGTGTGTTAGGGTGGGGGTGAGGGGCACAGGAGGTGGTCTCAACTAAGTAGGTTTTAGGCAGGAAAGGGACAGGAGAGAAAGGGCAGGGAGCACTAGCTGCTTGTTAATATTCTGGGCTCTGCTTACCACAGCCTCAGACCCTCACTCCACAACATCTGTAGAAAGGACAGAAGAACAGGCCAGGACCTGGGAAAGGTGTTTGCAGAGACTCGGGGAACCCCCAATCAGCTCTCTTGCCCAGGGGCTTCCCCTCGTAGGTGATGCTCTGCCCCCTGACCTCAGAACCTGCCTGCCACCCTTCCTTCAGATTTTGGAGTTAAATGCTCCTTCCCCCAGCCTGCAGGGACCAGGTCCTCCTTCCCTCTGTCTACCTCTGGCCTGAGAGGGAGTGTAGTGTAGGGGGAAGCTGAGCTCTAAGATATGTTTGGTCACTGAAGGAAGCCTCTGACCAGAGTGTGCAGAGGTTTGCAGAGAAGGATAGGCACAGTGGGGAAGACTCAAAGGCAGGGGACAAGGCTTGGCCAGTTATAACTGAGCAAGTATGACAATCTCTCGGGCTGGGGCTGGGGGCTGCCAGGGAGCTCAGCATTGCCTCAGCAACACCAGGCAGGAGGGCCTGCCCAACCTGCCAGAGACACTTGTCGCTCCCCTTCCAGGCACCTGGGGTCGGCCCCAAAGACAAAAGCCTGATCCATGTGCCTGGTCCAGAAACAGTGAGGCTGTTGCCAGTCAGGGCTGGTCCGGGGTCAGGGCCTTCTAGTTCCCTTCTAAAGGGAGACTTTAACAGCAGCCTGAGTGGACACTCAAATCTTGCTCCAAGCCAGCACACTGAGCTTTTGTTTGTTTTTTCACATTTAGTTGTGTATTTATTTTTAATTTAATTTTAATTTTCAATAGGTAAGATACAATTTAAAAATCTAAACTTTGGCCTAGAGAAATCTCGGTCTCACCCCTGTCCCCTTCACCCTGATTCTTGCCCCGCTCTTTGTAACCATTCTGATTGGTTTTTTTACTTATAGTCCCAGTGTTTCTTTACTCAAATAAGAAAAGGTATTCTTATTCTACTTCCCTTCTTACATAAAAACAAAAAGAAAACAGAAAACAAAAACCATACTATCCTACACCTTGTATTTTTAACTTAATAACTTTATAACCTGGAGACTTTTCCATGTCAGTATCTAGAGGACTTCCTCATTCTTTTTTCATGGCTACGCTGTACTCCATGGAAGAGATGTACCATGGAGTCCCCTGTTGTTGGACAAGTGGGTGGTTTCCCAACTTGTGCTGTTTCAAACAATGCCGCAATGGACAGCCTTGTATGTAAGTCACTTTGTACATTGGTAGGTATATCCGTAGGACAGATTCCTGGAAATGGCATTGCTGGGTCAAAGGGTAAATGCAACTGGCATTTGGAAGGTATTGCCAGATCCCATCTGTACAAGTTGTGCATGTTGTGCCCCTGCAAGCAATGTACATGAGAGCCTGTTTCCCTAGCACCTTGCCAGCAGAGTGTATTGTCAGCCTTTTGGATTTTTGACAATCTGATAGATGTGATATTCTCAGTGTAGTCTTTATTTGCATCTCTGATTATAAGTTAAGTTCAGCATCTTTTCATATGTTTAAGAGTCTTTGGTTTTCTTTTTCTGGGAACTATTAATGTCCTTTGCCCATTTTTCTATTGGATTGTTGGCCTTTTTCATCTTGATTCACTATGAGTTCTGGACTCTAGGATATCCGAGATTTCACTCCTGGAGCACAGGTAAAGGACTTTGAGCACAGAAATACTGAGAAGGGACCCTGAAATCTCCAAAGATCAAATATAAAATGCAGAATTCTGGTGGCCACTGTCTGAAAATAAAAGAATACATTCTTCTCCAATGCTGATGAGGTCCAGCCAAGGAGAGTGTTATTTCCTGTGTCTGAGCCTTATTTGTTCCTTCCACAGCCCCCCTCCTCCTATCAGAGAAGGAAAGTGAGGTTAGAGGGCATATGCAACCAGCCAAAGAAATTACCAGCAAATGCATGGTTGAGACCCAGGTGGCTGAACCTCCCTTAGCCCCTGTGTCCCCGGAACTGGACTGTTTCCATTGCTCCTTCTCTGTCTTTTACAATTTGGAACCTAGCACCAGAGCAAGTTGGAAGAAAAGCTGAGCTTTCTTACTTCTTCCCTTCCATCAAGGGGTAAAGGGACAACCCAGCTAATCAGGAGCCTTCCTCCTCTCCCTTTTAGGAGCTCCCGGAGAGGAGTGGGTGGGAGGCAGCATGCTGGGGCAGAGGTGGGGCTGTCACCCTCGAAGGCTGGCAGCTGGTCCCTCTTCCCAGCAGAGAGCTTGGGGAGGGTGGGAGCCTCACATCCCTCCAGATTCCCACTTATCTCCATTCCTCCTGTAGGATGGGGAGGAACCACGTACACACGCAAGTCCCAGGCTCCGGGAGGTCACTGTGTCCGTGTAATGCAGTCTTGACTGGTCTGAGAAGCCAATTCATGGTTTCCTATGGTTTTAAGATTTGTCCTCAGAATCCTCCCCCTGCACCAAAAATTAAAACCTCAGCACAAAGAAAAGATGCCACATCATCTCCCAGGAGAAATCCACTGCAGCATCTTCTAAGCCTTTGAGTTGGGAAGTTCTGTTCTGAAGTCAGACTTAACGCTCTACTTCTGCCACCAAAGTCTTTTCCCTTTTATTCATTCTTTGGAGCAGAAAACCAGCTGTATGTAGTCCTCCTTCATGCCTCGTCCCTGCCCTAAATCAACTCATAAGCTGGGACAGGAAACATTTCTCCATCTCCTTGTAGTCTGCCGTCTGGGTCCTCAAGGGAGAAGACCCTGGTTCCCTTTACCCTTGAAGGTCTTTGTCCCCCAACCTCAGGGACCTCTTTCTTTCTACACACTGGCTATCTGAAACTGCTCTTGCAATCGCATCTGCTGGCAGATTAATTAGCTAATTAATCTCTTAAGGAACCTTCTCTTTAGTGCACTCAACCTTTCCAGGGGCCTATTCATCTTGAGCTGCAGCCCCTCCCTGAGGAGTTGCCACAAACATTCAGGAAGTTCCATCTCCCCAGAGCCGCCCTGGGGCACTGCTCTACACGTGCCTCATTATGCATCCAGTCTCAGTCATTTTCTCCGCAGGCATTCTACTTCTCAACCCTGAAGGCAGAATGGAGCATACAGACAGGGCACATCAGGTAGCAATCCAAGAGCAGCATTAGAGGCAGGAGTTGCATCGATCCCGGGTTGGTCCATGCGGGGTTCAGGACCACGGAGAGCTCACCAGTCTAGGTAGCGCTATTAAGGAGCATATGCTAAGAGCCAGTGGTGCTAGGCACTGGAGGGAGGAGGTGGGAGTGTGGAAAAACGAGGAAGGCCTGCCTCTGGCCCTCTCAGGAGCTAACAGCAGAAGTGGGGGACTGGGGATGGAACAGTTCTAACCAAGGCACAATCGGAGGAGTATTAGAATACAGGAGAGGTAGGGCGTAGTCCCCTGCTTGCAAGAAGGGTGGGAAATCAGGAAGGCTTCTTGGAGGACAAGGCACTTGAGCTAAGCCTTGAAAGATAGAGAGGATTTCAACAGGCCCAAAAACTAGCTCAGGGCTGGTCTCTAGAGGCCCTTAATAAATGTACTTGTTGAACAGTGGATTGGGTAGATGAATGGACAGATGGATGAGGGGAAAAATAGGACAAAGCAGATCTAAGCTCCAGATGTTCACAAAACAGTGCAGTGGCTCTGGAGGTCAGACAATGTGACCTGCTCTGTCCTGGCTTGGGAGTGGGAAAGCTGCAGCACTGAGTTCCATTCTCCCTGGGCCTGGACTCCTGGGGATGGGAGGGTGTGGAAGGCTTCAAGTGCACTGGCAGGTGAGAGCACTATCAGCCTGATGGGAGGCGGCTGGAGCTAGAGGATCCCTCATGGCTTCTCTGACCCTGGTGCTGATTGGATGTTGCAGGAGTGGGCAGATGCCTGCTGCAGGGGACTCCGGAGCGTCCATGCCTATATCCTGGTCTACGACATCTGCTGCTTTGACAGCTTTGAGTACGTCAAGACCATCCGCCAGCAGATCCTGGAGACAAGGTGAGAGGCTGCAACACAGTCCATTTCCACCTCTCTGGATGCCCCAATGCTAACCCACCCCCAAGAAAAGGGAACAGTGGGGGAAACAGATGGAGTATATGTGCCCGCAGGTCCCCACACATACACTCATACACACATTCACATTTTGCTGTCCCCATGTCTGTTAACTCATTTTGGAGCTCTGACCACGGGGTGGCTAGTCTAGTGCAGTGATTAAGAGCAGAGGCTCTTAACAAGCCTTCCAGGGCCACTCAGCTGCATGACTTTCGGCCAGCTAACATTTAAACCTGTTTCCTCATCTGTAAAATGGGTATAACTATTTAGATCAGTTGTGATTAGATAATATCCTCAAGGGCGGAGGGCTGTGCCTGGAAGAGAACGTCTGGTATTAGTTTTATTGATCCGGCACAGCCTGCCCTTCTTTGAATCCGGTGGCTGTGAGACTGGCAGAGTTCTGAGATTCCTGCCTCGCCCCGCAGGGTGATCGGCACCTCGGAGACGCCCATCATCATCGTGGGTAACAAGCGGGACCTGCAGCGCGGACGCGTGATCCCACGCTGGAACGTGTCGCACCTGGTGCGCAAGACCTGGAAGTGCGGCTACGTGGAGTGCTCGGCCAAGTACAACTGGCACATCCTGCTGCTCTTCAGCGAGCTGCTCAAGAGCGTCGGCTGCGCCCGCTGCAAGCACGTGCACGCCGCCCTGCGCTTCCAGGGCGCGCTGCGCCGCAACCGCTGCGCCATCATGTGAGGCCGGCGCGCCCCGCCGCCTGCAGGCC